CCCCGTTAAACGATTTCTGTTGAATTAACATTGGATAATCCTGCCTTCAATCAGTGGGTGTTAACCGACAAGCAATCAATTATCGGTGAGCTTAAAGTATGTGTCAGTCTTTGTTAATAAAACCTTGATAATTTTATAATTTCTTGTAAGAGAGTGCTTGGTATTTCATTTGATTTTTTCACGTCAAATACAGCAACATTAAATATAAATTGCTGAGATGAAGAATCACTATCATTATAATATTTTGTTCATAACGACGCACAAGTGTTTTGTACGCACCCAAAGTAAAAACATAATAATTTTATATAATAAAGTTTCAAATGTACAGAAAGGTTTATCATATTTTTAAGTTCTGGGTATTCAAAGGTGCATTAAAATAATACTTTGGTATTCGAGGTACAATAATACTTGCGGTTTTGAGACAATTAAGTATTCCGTCATGGTGTATAATCCAGCATTGTATCGGTCCTGTACAATGTTGAAAGTGAAAGAGTCCACTGTATATTTTTAATTACATACACTTCTTCAATGATGGACAACAAAGATGACAATTGGACCTCTTATTATATAATCCAACTCTGGCTTAATGAGATGCATGGATCAAAAATCAAGATGCCAAAAGGTGTCAATTTAAATTCTGTATCCAAATACCTTTAAATTAGTATGTGACTTAGAAATATGCTTGGAATATTTAAATTTGAATGTACCATAATATTACTTTTAAGAAAGAAGATATTGAAAATTTTGGAAACAAATTGAACTCCATAGCAACCATTTGGCCAGAGCTGATCACATATATAGTTATAATAGACCCACTGTGTTATAAGATTATCAGTTATTTTTCTGTTGTATGATTTTTATTATGAAAATAAACCAATTTAGTTTGACCATTTTTTAGTTTTCTGCAAACACACAAAATGAAACAATAAAAGTAAACAAAAGATGGCATATACACATAGAAATTCTTTGTAGTGAGTGTATGTAACAGTATGGCCAATTATTACTTTCTTAATTATTTGTTTTGTAAGGTTAAATTATTCCTGGAAGTATTCAGCCAGGATATTTCTAATGTTAGTGCAGTCTGCATTGATTGCCTCTTCGTTACTTTGATTTGGCTGAGGCATTTAGTTTTCTCCCTTTGCTACATCCTCTAGCCATTCAACCCTAAATGGGTCTTTTGCTTGTTCGCATATGTTATGAAGTATGCAACAGGTCATAATAATATTGGGGACCTTGTCAACATTCATATCCAATCGCTTTAATAAGCAGCGCCAGCGACCTTTTAGGCGACCAAAGGAATTTTCTACCGTCATGCGTGAACTACTTAGCTTATAATTAAATGTCTTTTGTTTTTGGGTCAGGTGACCATTGTCTGTGTATGGTTCCATTAGAAAGTTGGATAATGGATAAGCCGGATCACCTAACAAGACGATAGGCAGGCGCACATTATTGACATCAATCATCTTGCCGGCAAATAATGTCCCAGACAGCCCTTTTGCATATATTTTGGAGTTTGCATAGACTCGTGCATCATGAACACTTCCTGGCCACCCGATATTTAGGTCTGTGAATTCATAACGATCATTCACAACTGCTTGAACAATGATGGAATACCACCCTTTTCTGTTATGGAAGTCAGCATGGTTCATGCTCGGTCCTAATATAGGAATATGACTGCCATCTATTGCTCCACCTGCATTAGGAAATCCCCATTTCGACCGATACCCATTTACAACTCTATTCAGTTCTTCACCTGATGGAAATTTAATGAATTTGTCCTTGATCGAAATCAGGGACTCACAAAATATGTGTATAATTGAAGACACGGTTGACCGGCCAACCCCAAATAATGCAGCAACAGTTCTGTACTCAGCATTGGTCCCTAAAACCCATAAACTTATGCCAACCTAAAAAAAAAGGGTTACCATACTTTAAATGGGAGGGGTAGAAGATTGTTCTCAATATTTCCAATCATTTTAGTTCAGTGATAAAATCTATTATTCAGTCTAGTATTAAATTGACAAAACTAGATTTGTTTTTTACTAAGGCCATCTACATGTACAAACAAATATCTACTTCCAATCCAAATCAATAGGCGGCCAACATAGAAAATAATAGTATGTGTTGCATGTTCTTATATTCTCCAAGCAGAAGTGAATATCTCAACCAATACAGCGATCATAAAATGCAAAATAGCCTACCTGTCGCTCAACAGATATTGGTTCCCTCATACTTGTTACTTGTTTCTCAAGAAATGGTCTCAAAATTCTACACAGATATTCAAATGTACATTTTGACATTCTGAAGTTTTCCAAATACTGTATATCATCATAAAAGCTGAAAATAAAATGTAAAGGAATTAGATTAGGTAAATAATTAAACTTAAAGTAGTCAATATCATCCAAAATCTGCGACATTGAAAACACAAAGTATTTGTCAATTTCAATCAACATTGATCTTGTGATCTTAACGGGGAAAAGATGGGTTTCTGATATCCAATATTTGAGACAAAACAAACATTTAACCATTGGTACACGAATTGTGTAATGCATTTCAGTGTCATTTGTAACAAGGGACTAGAAGAACGAGGCTAGACATATATTCCCACAAGTCATATTCTTATCTGGAGAGCATGCACAATAAATACTATCAGTGTAGACTGGAATAACCAGTTGCTAGACATTGCCATTCGATTTAGACATCTAGAGTATTTCGACGAATATAACTAATTAGAAATTATGTGTTGCGACCCATTTGTGTCAATTTCTAGATCCCAAATATTAACAATTTAGCTCTTTTAAGCATGCAACTATTATTATTCGAAATTAAAAATTGTCTATATGGCACATATAATAGCACAGGCCTATTTGTGTGAAGATTGTTTTGTTTTTTTAGGTTGTTTTTTTTTTTTTGGGGGGGGGGGACGTTATATTTTCTATAAATATTTAATTGATGACCCCTTGGTTAATATTTGTTTTATACACCTTGTCTGTGTACATATTTGACTACATTATAATGATTATAAATTTTAAAACAATATATATGAATATATCAAACCAAACCTGTATGCGTGATTCCACCAATTGTCACTGTGACCATATTCTCCTGTTGGTTGGCATGAATATCACAGAAGTGACACTCATTAGCATCAGAAAGAAGTACCTTTGTTGACTCTGTCGTTGTCTAAACTGTTTAATTCTATGTCTCAAAGCATTAGTATTCATTTCTAGGAAATGTGTATAAACTATCCGAGAGTAAGAGAAACAAATTTCGCGGATTTTTTTTTCACAGGATGTTTACATATTCTACCAGGAAATGGTATGTACGCATGCATAGTTAACTCTAACCTCCGACCGAAGAGGTCAGAATAGTTAAACAGGTTTGACTTATAGTACGTGTGAACGCAACACGACGCTGTCTTAAAAACCCCGGCGATTTTGAACTGGTTTAAAAATAAGCGTCTGAACGGGGTATTAGTCACGTACATGCGTGAACCGAATCCACGCCAATTGACTCTATGATAGACGTTACTCACTGAGCCACCACGACTCCCTTGATATTATAATACTTGATATAATATCAAGGTTAATTTACGTCCGCTTCCATTGAGATGATACGGTAATCGAGTAGTTTCCTAGTAAGATTGGGCGTCTAAACTTTTCATATATCATGTCATACTGTTACTGGAAATAACCACCTGATAAATACATTTGTGACAATGTATCTTTAATATCCTTGTGGTTGAAGCGGATATTTAGTTGAGAGATTAATTCTCCAAATATTGCTTGGGGTTGCGTGACCGAATGGTTAACGCGAGCGCGTTAGATCATAAGGTCTGTCATTGAGTCAAATGGCATGGTTTTGATTCCCCGCTTGTACGTGACAAGACGTAGTGTCCAACCTCATAAGTTTTCCCCGGGTTTTGCGGTTTCCTCCCACTTCTAAAGATCCTTAAGCGAATCCTTTACATAAAATTAAACCATGTTAGTCCCGAAATCTCCCTCTCTCTCTCTCTCTCTCATAGGTGTACCAGCCAGGAAAACGGGTTTGCGGCAGTTAAAGTTTCAAAATTTTCTCCCGACTTTCCCGTCTCCGTGGACTCTGAATGATTGGTTGGTATTCGAGTCATCTGCCTAAGTAAGGGTACATTAGATCACTTTGAAGTTGCTGCATTCATGGGCTGGAACAGCAAGAAAACGCATTTGCGGGAATGGCCTCCTTCGCCGCTCGCAGACGACCGGAACTACTTTCTGTAAACCGAAATGTTTTCGGGCATTTCAGATTCTGCCCTTCTAACATTCATCGACCCCCCACGCCTCTCGCCGACAGGGATCCCGGACAAGTGGGATGTGACCCTGGGCGTTCTAGTTGAGTTTTTTTTAACACCGTCGACATATGATATTTCTCTAATCCATCAATTAATTAGCCTGCACGTGTACAGGTCTTTAGCACGACGGTGGCCAGTAATCAGCCGGGATCGAACCCACACCACTTGATTCAATTAAAGCGGACGTTAACCTAATCGTCCCCCTATTGACTCATCCTGGGTTGGCACTGGTGTAGGCCTTCAGACCTGGCAAGAAAAAAGGTGTAGTCATTCGGATGGTACAGAAAACTGAGGTCCCGTGCAGAACCCTTGACATAAAAGTAGGCCGTAGCGTCGTTGACTGGTTAAATTTCCCCTCATAGCGCCTTGTGTGTGGCGTATGTCCGTCTTTGTTAACCCAATCGGGGCAGAAGACAAGGGCGGGTATTATAGACTTGATGATACTTGATATATTTGATACTTTAAAAAATGGGAGCCGCCGTGGCCGTGGCTAAGTTATTCGTTGACTAGGGGCAAGTGGTCCAATCCCGTTGTTGATTTCGAAAGTTCTCTGTGATTTTCCGGTGAACACTTTGACGTACATTTGACAGTTGGAATTCGATATAAGAGGAGGGCGTAGCGGCGTATGTCCGTCTTCATTAGCCCAGTTGGAGCAAACTCGTAACAGGTTAAATCTCATTTTACTCCCTTTTATTTCATGTATGCAAACTGGTACATAGAAGAGGTTGATTTATGACATCATGAATCACATCGATATTAACTGAACAAAAACAAGCATATTTGCATTTCATTAAAACAGCGATTGATTATGTTTACTTTTATATTTACTTTTATATTTACGGTCACTTTTATCATGGTCTTCAAGTCAATGAAACACGCCACACCGCCTGGTTAGGTTAGGGCGCCGCGGTGGGAATGTTTCAGAGACAATAAAACAGAGGTCGGATTCAATTTAAAGATAAATTTATTTTCCTCAACAACCCAGTATTTTAACTAAACAGGCCCGGGATTTCCCCACCAACCCAATATTTTAACTAAACAAGCCCGGGGTTCCCCGCCAACCCAGTATATTTATTAAATAATCACGGGGTATCCCCCACCATCCAGCACTTTAACTAAACAATCCGGTGTTTCCCCCACAAACCCAGCAATAAAAGTACTATCAATAATCGGTATTTGGAACTTGTGGTATATTCTACTGATATCTTTCCGCTACTCTTGGCCTTAAATCTCTCCACCAACTCAGCATCTTGATTAAATAAGAACGGGTTTTCCCCACCAATCTAGTATTTGAATATAATAAGCAATCAACCCAGAAAGAGCTAAATCTCTATTCTGTGGCACCCAGTAATGGACACAAATAGGTCGCAACACATAATAATGTATTATGAATATATATAACCTGATTTACATTCAATCGTTTCTATCATACTGTAATTTATAATCAGTTATGTTTGGCAAAATACGCGAAGGGTCTGAATTTAAAAGGTGATAATCTTCTACGTGGGATATATTTAGTCTCCTTCATCGAGTCCCTTAATGCAAATGGTACCCGAAGCATTCTACACGCGATTCAAGTGCCAATGTTAATATTTTCATTTTGACTGAAACATCAATCGTTTCTGTTTGCATTGTCGAAGACTGGATGATATTGAGTTAGTTAGCGACTTGACTCCTTCAATAAGCACGGGGGTTTCGTCATCCATAATTTCATCTAGATAAGCACTGTCAATGATCAGTATTCAGGACTTGTTGCCCTACACCTCGCCTTATATCTGTACGTGGTTAATTTGTTGTGAAGAGCTTGATTAATGGCCACGTTCTTGTCCTTTGACATTGCTACACAGTAATCTGAAATGATTAACATACATTATAAAATGGCCATTGTTTCAGTCTAGTTGGCTAATATGTATTAGGTATGGGCTGGGTAACCCCACACTGTAAAAAATATCCATTTTTAATGTGAGCGAATTCAGTAGTTTAGCACCTTTTTTTGTCAATTGATGACTTTTTTGGAGAAATTGTGTTAATAGTATAAATTATTTCTTCAAATTAAGTGTTTTATCTATTTCAGTGGAATATTCAATATTAAACAGGAAATTTCCGTGACATTTAGGGAACAATGTTTTATTCCCTTCTATAATGGACTTAATTCTGTTATTTTACGGAATAAATGGTGGAATGACCAGGAGGTTTCGTGAATATTAGGGATATAATGTTTTATTCCCTTCTGTAATTCTGTTATCGGTACCGATAAGTAATCGTATACATATATAATCATTCCTAATAATTATCATGTTAAAGTACTCATTTCAATATATTAACCATAATATGAAGAATCATATTTTGTACCGTTTGGTATATTAATTGACATGTATATCTAATTTCCATTATTTATAAGATCTATAAAGTTTATTGTTATTCATCATACGGTAATCAGATTGTAAGTATTTTCATAAATGTGTAAAAATATGTTTTAACGCTGCGTGTGTGAAAAGGTAGTATCTGGTAATCAAGCACGCTTGAATCTGGATAGTATAACCGGTTGGCCAGTGTAAGTCGGTTTGTCTCTATGACAGCGTCTACATACCTGCAAATTGATAATACCGCAAACTCACATCTGAAAGCCTCCAACCACCGTCGAGTAGCGGTTTGTGATACCTTGCTCTCGATTCTTATATTAGCGAACAGAGGTTACGTTTAAAGATTTCCTTCGATATCACTTCGGTGGAAGCGGACAGTAAATAAAGTCATTAATGCACACGTATAAAGTCAATGGTTCGTTCAATGAAATTTTTATCACCTTCATGCTCAGGAAACAAAATTTACCAAATGGAATTTATGTTAATTGAAGGAATTTCTGTAAATTAAAGGATAAATAAATACGGATAAAATTTTCATGGTAATTTTTGTTTCCGTAATTTTTTTACGTTTTTACATGGATATGTTTGTTACAGTGCAGGGTCTAAACCAACTGTCAAGCGCCTTTTTTAGCACGGATAAATCCCGATTTTCTGTTAACCATTTGAGCTAGAGGCGTGTCCTTGTCAAACATCCCTGCTAGCACCATTAACAAGAGCTAGATTATGACCTTGTCAGACATCCCGGCTAGCACCATTAACAAGAGCTAGATTATGACCTTGTCAGACACCCCGCCCATAGCACCATTGACAAGAGCTAGATCTTGTCCTTGTCAGACACACCGCCCAGCACCATTGACAAGAAGAAACCGGAATGGAAAATTCCGAGAAATATTCTCGACCTACACCGCGATCGAACGTGGTGTTAATATGCCGGCACCATAGTAACCATGCCACACTGTGAAAACAAGACTTTACCTCTAATGGCTTGAACTACGGTTGCATCCAATGACATCAGACCAGGTTTAGGATCTTTTGATACTGAACCGAAACATAGCTTTTCTTTTGTAAACATGACGCTCAGAAGGTGACGAGTCACGGATTGTCCACTCTTTGTTTTCTCGAATAATTTCTTGACGTGGACGAGATCTGATGGATATATGAACACACCATACCCATGACAGAGTTCAATCATCTGAAACAAAATAATATAGCTATGTATACAAATAGATGTGGGGGCGGTGGGCGGGGAGAGAGAGAGAGAGAGAGGGGGGGGGTGTCAAACCTAGGTCATTTCGTGACTAACATATGATTCAGTACTACTTCAATAATTCGCTCGCGATCCTACCCCTTGTCACGTACAGGCGGGGATTCAAAACCACTCGACAACCAAATCAAAGTATGACGTCACATCTTTATAAGTGAATGGGTTCGGGGTTCTAACCCAACCGTAACCTCCAACTGTGTTGTATAGTCCTGGGATTGTAATGATACAGGCATCACTCAAAATGAAACAAAAGTGGGGGGGGGGGAACTAGGGGGCGTTACTACAAATGAATTATAAATAGGCCTGCTTATTGGGGTGGGGGTGGGGGACTTTACTCAAACTGAAACAACAAATTAACAATGAATGAATTATAAATAGACTGGGGGGTGTTGCTCGTAGGGGTCTTTAGCAGTGGGAGGAAACCAGAGGACTCGGCAAAAACCCACGAGTTTGGACAGGCGACCATACTCCTTGTATTCGAACCCACGCCAGTTGACTCAATGACAGGCCTTATGATACAGCGCGCACGTGCTAACCATTCGGCCATCCAACCCCCCGATTTATAAATAGGCCTGCTTACTTTATATTTCTCTGCTGCTCTTTTATTAACTCTACAGGCTCAGGGCAATACGGTGTCTGTAAAAAATATAATAACGACTCGTTCATCAGAATTTACATGTTTTAACGATAGTTTCATATTTTCTGAATAATGGTTTATATTTTCTACACAATAATACTTAGAAATTGTATTATATTTCACTTGAAAATAAAAGCTACATAATGGAAGTGTGGAGGTCTACTTGGTCGAGGCATATTACTTTCCTTGTTTTGAGGTGCCTCTACCTGTCCCAGCAAACATTCAAAATTTAAACATTTTAGTTTTGAAAACTGACTTAGAGGATTATAGGATTGTAAGGATTGTCTCCAAATGAAACGTGGTTTAACGTCCTACTGTTCTGCTACGATTGGTCTTATGAAGACTGGCATACGCCATACAGTGTAGTATGAGGGGATTTTTGCCATGACAGTGGCTCTACAGCCTACTCTTGTATCGAATTCCAACTGTCAAGGGATCTTTTATGTACACACCAATGTGTACACGGGACCGCGGCGTTTCGTCAAAATCCGACCGGCCATACGTTGTTCCGTTGTCCTGCACTACTGACGAGGAGGAACCACGCCGGAAAGACGCGATGAACTTTCTCGGCCAACACAGGGATCGAACATGGGACCCCAGATTAGCGAGCCAACGTCTTACTAAGGCACCATTGCTCCCTAAATGGTCAACAAGATTTACATCAGTGGAGCAAACCATCAGTATTGCTTTCATTCGAGACAAATCTAGCTTTAGCCAGACCATGGCTTAACAAGCTATCGGACTTGTTTCTTCATGATCGTAATAACACTACAGAATCAATGATTTTACAACTTTATTGCTAAGCTGTAATGGCTTTAAATGTTCCTCGTCCTCAATAATAATAGCTGCTAGGAATATCTGAATGAGCTTTGATCCATTTCGCTCTACACCCTAATTTATACCCTCTAATTTCTGTACGTCTTAGATAGCCTTGACGTTAATTTCCATCCCAAATATGGAATAAATCTCTTTATTTCACAGGATTAAAGGAGGAGACATTACATTATTTAGCCTACCAACCATAGGTCAATTAACAGACAGAACTTGATGGATATCTTGACAATGGTTATGATTTTACCAAAATATCACTGTTTTTTTTTATGTATAACTATCTATTCACGTTCATTAAGTACGTGTGATTTGACTCTATAGACAGAGTAAAGTAACAATTTTTCAAAGAACCAAAATTGTCTTAAGGACCAAAGTGTTACACATGTTCAAGGGTGTTTTTTTAAAATTTGAGTGAAAAATCTGAATTTTGATAAAACACTGTAGGTATATATAAATGTACATACCTGTGTAGGTATTGACAGGTATATCAACATATCGACTATCTTCCAATTTATTGTTGGCTTTATCCAGCTTCGCTTCTAATTCTGTTATCTGCTTCTGAAGAATCCCACAGTGTTCACAGAAAACTGTTTTGGATGTATTTTCTTTTGAATCTGGGGAATAGTTAAAGATACATTAGTTAAGAGTTTAATAAAGAGTTGGCCATTCTTGCTATAATAATTCAAAATTAGATGATGAAAAAAGAAATATTGAAATCGGGACTTAGCCTCGCTTTCCCAATTTTACATTAAATTTTTAAATGGCGAACCGTTCTAATCTAGTTAAAATCTCGAGTATCCGATGCCATCGAGAGTCGATTATGGTCTTGTTTTGTTAATAAATGTGTAATTAATAATTTAGATAACATTTTAGGCCTAAAGAAAAACCTGCAATAGACAGATTTAGCTCTTGCATAATCTATGTTTAATATGATTATTACAATGACATCATTATTAATGTGACGTCATAATGTATGTTTAGTTTAACAAATGTAGTTTAAACAACTCCAGCATTTATTCTACATTATTGCTATCTCAAAGCTGTCCAATATTTAATCAAAAAACATACATGGTTCAAATAATGTGTTAGACATTACGTTTATAGAATACAAACATTTCACTCCAATCCGATTAAAATACAGATCTATATTTCGTTTCGTTTTTGATACTTTCGACGGCCTCTACTATTCGAAGATCTGACGGTAGTGGGAGGTCGCTTTAGGGGTTATATGAGTGTCTTTTCACCCTTTACGTCAGACATTGATTAATCAATCAGCGTTGACGTTTCTATAGTGTTCCATTCACAACATGCCAAGAAGTCGCTGTAACAGGCCGGTTCATTGGCTAATTCCTCACATCAAGCAGACCACCTGTTATATAACAACTCTTCCAGATCGTAGTGTTGTGAAGACAAGTAGAACGAAATTTTGAACTATAAAAAACGAAACGAATAGGACCGTGTTTTAATCAGATTTAAAAGTATGTGTCTGGGTCCTTTTACATCAAAGTCGTACAAGGAAGCAATCCCATCCTAATTTTTATAAGCCCTGCCCTTAATGTGTCATATTATTTGGGTTTAGACTTGTATTTTTGCGACGACCCATCAAGCAAATACATTTATTTGTGAACTTTTCAATACTAAGAACCATTTTCTAAACTTGTCAAGGAAATGAAATGAGTTAGTTCGCCACCGCGGTTAACCAAATAAAATGTTCTGCTCTGACAGGGCTAATGAAAACGAGTTTACGTCATGCAATGTGCTATGAAGGCAATTTTACCCGGACAGCGGCGCTACGGTCTACTCTTATATCGAATTCCAACTGCCATGGAATCTTTTACGTCCTCCAATGACAAGAGAACATTTCTCGGCCAACGTCTGGATCGAACCCGGACCTGCTTGTTAATGCTTCAGCGACTTAAATCACCGAGCCCCCGATTTATAAATGACCTGTACAAAATACAAAAGAAATGAAATGGGGTTTAACGTCCTACTGTCCCGCTCCGAACTGGGCTAATGAAGACGGGCATTCGCCATACAGTGTCCTATGAGGGAAATATTGCCCGGACAGCGGGGTTACGGCCTACTCTTATATCGAATACCAACTGTCATGGGATCTTGTACGTGCACGCCAATGTGTACACGGGACCTCAGTTTTCCGTACCATCCGAATGACTAGACGGCTGTCCTTGTCAGACACTCCGTCCTGCACCACTGACAAAGGGAAACCACACGCAACCTCCAGCAGCTTACCCACTTAGCCACCGCAGCTCCTAAAAGGTTTGTCTAAAGGTAGAAACAATACACTGATGGAAAGGTTTAACATCGTTAGTTTCCTATAACATAGAATATACATTAAATATACATGTACCTAATGGAAGACCTAACTCTGCCTGTACATTGATATCCATGAAGTTTACAATGTTCTTCCAGGTGAAAATATTGCTCAAAGCAAATTTGACATAATGTACATTGATATAAAGTACTTGCAATAGATTCGCTTTCTTTAACATTTTGTCCTATGATAGGAGATTCTTCATATTCCATATGTATTTTACAATGTTCTTCTAAATCAGGGTATAAATCAAATTTTCTTTCACACAAGTTACACTGAAAATAATTCAAGTTATCAATTTCCTCTTCTTTAACATGTTTCTTGTGAAGTTTTTCCACATCAATTTTTTTTTCCTTTAACATGTTTCTTGTGAAGTTTTTCCACATCAATTTTTTCTTCTTGAACATGTCTTTTGCAGAGTTTTACCGCATTATCAATATCGTCTTTTTTAACATGTCTTTTGCGGAGTTTTACAACATTAGCAATTTGCCCCGTTTTAACATGTCTTTTGCGGTGTTTTACAACATTAGCAATTTGCCCCGTTTTAACATGTCTTTTGCAGTGTTTTACGATACTGTCAATTTTTTCTCCTTCAACATGGATCTTCTTGTTCACGTGTAGTTCATAGTGAAGATCTAGATCACTGTACTCTTTAAAAATCTCATCACAAAAAACACAATGATGGAATGTTTTAACATTATTAGTTTCCTGAAATATACGAAGGTTATAATATCATTAGTTTCCTGAAATATGTAAGTTATAACATCATTAGTTTCCTGTAATATACTATTGAAAAAAAGTAGGGGATATTTGATTTTTAAGTGTTATTAAAGTCACCTAATGAAACTGACGAAGAAACAAATGACAAAATGAAATGAAGTTCACATTCATCGATTTATTCCAAATGATCGTAGACTAAGTAAGGCATAGACTGACCATTATAAGGGTAAAATGATACCCGGGGTCAAACAGCAAAGTTACCACAGCATCACAACCAAGTCAGTAACGGGTAAATCCTCCTCTGTTTGCCAAACAAGCATTGATCCGACGTGGCATACTCCTAATGAGACGTCTAAGGTCATTTTGGTCCAGATTGTCCCATTCCTGTTGCAACGCAGCAGCAAGTTCTTGGACATTGGCAGGACGTTGTTGACGTTGACGTAACCTCTGTCCAAGCATGTCCCAGACATGCTCGATGGGGGAGAGGTCGGGACTCAGTGCTGGCCAAGGTAATGTGGTGATGTTCTGTTGTTGGAGGTAACCTGTAACGATCCTGGCCCTGTGACATCTTGCGTTGTCATCCTGGAAGATGAAACGGCGGCCATGACGTCGTGCGAACGGCACAACATGGACTGCCAAGATGTTGTCCCGGTAGTACTGGCCTGTAACACGCCCTGCAACAACATGTAAAGCCGTTCTTCCAGCAACAGTGATGCCTCCCCACACCATAACAGAACCACCCCCAAATCGATCATGTCTGATGACGTTAACGTCTTGGAAGCGCTCGTTTCGACGACGCCACACCCTCCTACGTCTGTCCAAAAAATCAACAGTGAACCTTGACTCATCTGAAAACATCACATTGCTCCAGCGTCGATTATCCCAGTGTTGACGATCCCTACACCAACGACGTCTTGCCTGAATGTGTTGATCTCTCAAACAAGGCATCACTGGACGTCGGCGCGAAGGTGACCCCTATGCAGTCGATTCCGAATCGTCTGGCCACTCACTCTCACACCAGTGTCTGTTTGAAGACGAGCGCTGATCTGATTTGCTGTGATGACACGATTTCTCAAGGCCAAGGTACGGATAAATCGATCCTGGGCTTGAGTTGTCGCCCTTGGTCGACCTGAGCGTGGTCTGTTCTGTACAGATTGTGTATCACGGTATCTGGACCATAGCCTGCTTATGACAGACTGAGAAACATTCATCGTCCGCGCCACAACCGCCTGTGTTGTGCCGATCTGTAGCATGCCAAGGGCACGTAACCTTTCATTTTGGGTAAGCCGACGCATATCAAAATTTGTTTTCTGGTCACTAAAACAATTAAACTGATGTTTCCACCCTGGAATTCAATGCCACAATGACTGTAACATTCAAAGTCAGAGTCGTGCAAATCTTGGGTTGGACCCCCATGATGATCCCAAGCATCACCTGCATTCCATGCGGTAGCTATTGGTGCGTTTGGGCGTCACATGTAACTGGAAATGTTTCTTCTGTTAGGTTCTATAGTGACTTTTTTCGTAGTCATTTGCATATTTTAGTATTATGCCCCCAAAATCAAATATCCCCTACTTTTTTTGAATAGTATATATAAAAGCTATAACATCATTAGTTTCCTGTAATATATAAAAGTTATAACATCAAAGCTATAACATCATTAGTTTACTGTAATATATAAAAGTTATATTATTAGCTTCCTGTAATGTATAAAAGTTATAACATCATTAGTTTCCTGTGATAAGTTATATTATTAGTATCCTGTAATATATAAAAGTTATAACATCATTAGTTTCCTGTGATAAGTTATATTATTAGTATCCTGTAATATATAAAAGTTATAACATCATTAGTTTCCTGTGATAAGTTATATTATTAGTTTCCTGTAATATAAAAAAGTTATAACAATGTTATGTATTGAGAGAAAGTGGTTTTAACATCCACTCAAAACAAACTAGGTCATTCCTTGAGCAATTGGAGCGAACTGGCTGAATGGTTCATTGAGTCATGATGTGGTTTTGAATCCCTGCTTGTACGTGAAAAGGAGTAAAGTCCCCTGTGGGTCATTCCATGTCAAGTGCTAAACCCTATTTCTCTCTCTTCAGGGATCACGTGGCTAAGTGGGTAAGACGCTGGCTTGCTAGCCTGGAGGTCGGGTGTTCGATCCCTGCATTGGCCGAGAAAGTTCATCCATATTTTCCAGCGTGGTTTCCCCTTGTCAATGATGCAGGACAGAGGGCCTGACAAGGACAGCTGTCTAGTCGTTCGGATGGGACTAAAAACCGAGGTCCCGTGTACACATTGGCATGCACATAAAAGATCCCTTGGCAGTTGGAATTCGATATAAGAGTAGGCTGTAGGGCAAAATTTCCCCTCATAGTACACTGTATGGCGTATGCCCATCTTCATTAGCCCAGTTTAGGAGCAGAACAGTAGGACGTTAAACCCCATTTCATTTCATTTCTCTCTCTTCGATTCTTCTACAACCTTTGTCAGTAGGATGCACTATTCCTGTACAATAATGGAAACAAGACTTTAGAGAGAGAGGGAAACTGGGTTTAATGCCCACTCGACAAAAACATATGGTTTAATTTTATTTCAATAAAATTAATATAATTAATGATATAATATTAAAATAGACAGGATAGTAAAATTGTTTACATTATCACTCGAGCACGATGCTGTGTGTCGATAGGGTACCATTGAGCATGCCATGTGCAACGAACACGTGTAGTAAATTCTTTGGAAATACCGGACATATTAAATAATCAAAATTATTTTGTATTTGAAAATCCAATGGCATGCTTTCAAATATTTATGTCAAAACCAATCTTATAAAATATTATGTAGGCTTTTTTTAAAAAAAATCAACCTGATTTTAACTGCTGAATACGTGACTTGTCAAAGAGTGCAAGGTGGAGAAAAATGTCAAGAATGAATGAATCGACGAGGTACTAAAAATGTCCATACTGCCCTAAGTTTTATACAGAAAATCTATTGTTATAATAGAGTTTTGTGTGGAATTGGAGAAATAAATGTAGGATGTTTTTACAGTTTATTTATCTATATCTCTAGATTAATTTACAAACCAGTAAAAGGGCACTAGCCCAGGACTAGTACGGTTAAATAGATCACTAGCCTGTAAGTTAATTTTGGTAGGCCCGGGCGTCGGGGTATAGATTGTTACAAGCCTGCTTCAACTGGGCTTATGAAGACGGGCATAAGCCATACAATCTTCTATAAGGGAAGGATTGTCTGAAAAAATACTGATGAAATAAAATGGGGTTTAACGTCCTACTTTTCTGCTTCGACTGGGCTAACGATGATGGGCATATGTCATACAGTGTGCCATGAGGGCAATTTTGCCCGGACAGCAGCGCAAAAGCCTACTCTTATATCGAATTCCAACTGCCAAGGGATCTTTTATGTGTGCACCAATGTGTACACAGGACCTCAGTCTTTTATCCCCATCCTGCACCACTCACAAGGCGAAACCACGTCGGAAACAGCTCATGAAATTTCTCAGCCAAAAAAAAAAATATACAACAAAAAAAAAACATGAACTGCTTTTCTTTTTTTGTAGATAAGCTTACATGTAGATATCAAACATACCAGTTGATCTCTTGAAGCAGGACGGGGTTGATCCGGTGATCCCGGAAGGGGTTCATCTCGTGATCCAGGAAAGGGTTCATCTATTGATCCCGGAAGGGGTTCAACTCGTGATCCAGGTTGATCTTGTGATCCAGGAAGGGGTTCATTTGTTGAATCAGGAAGGGGTTCATTTGTTGAATCAGGAAGGGGTTCATTTGCAATGCTATCACGCCATTTACACCAATGTTGTTGTAAATTTTTAATCCATTTGCTCCTTTTTCTTCTAGGCATTGTGATAGTCTTTCCTGATCCAACTTGTTCAGTTTGTTTTATCTAAAATAGAGAAAAAAATATTTCTAAATGTTTGAAATGAAATCAAGATTAATGTCCTACTGTTCTGTTCCGACTGGGCTAATTAAAATGGGCATATGTCATACGGTGTGCTATGTAGGAAATTATGTCCGGACAGCGGCCTACTCTGATTTGGAATCAGACTGACAAGTGTCCCATTCTGCACCAGTGACTAGGGGGAACCCTGTGGAAAATCCATGTTAACTGTCTTGGCCTGTGCAAATCGACTGACCTGTCCAATATCTGCTACTGCACCACACAACAACTGTACATATCAGATCGAGTGAATGGATCCAGGAGGTCGACCGTAAAAGTCCAGAGAAATGAAATGAAATGGGGTTTAACGTCCTACTGTTTTGCTCCTATGCTGAGCTAATGAAGACGGGCATACACCATACAGTGTGCTATGAGGGAAATTTTGCCCGGGCAGCGGCACTATCGCCTACTTTTATATCGAATTCCAACTGCCAAGGGATCTTTTACGTGCATTCCAATGTATACACAGGACCTCGGTTTTTCGTCCCATCCGCATGACTAGACAGTCGTCCTTGTCAGGCCCTCCGTCCTGCATCACTGACAAGGGGGAACTTTCTCGGCCAATGCAGGGATTGAACACCCGACCTCCAGGCTAACGAGACAGCGTCTTACCCATGTGATCCCCGAAAGTCCAGAGAGGAGAGAGAGACAGAGAGAGAGAGAATTGGGGTTTAACTTCTACTCGACACAAACTAGGTGTGTCTAACATATGGTTTAATTTTATGTCAATAATTGGCTTGCGCGTAGGGGTATTTAGCAGTGGGAGGAAATAGGAGAACACGGAGAAAACCCACGAGGTTGGCGGGCGACCCTACTCCTTGTCACGTACAACTGGGGACTCGAAACCACGCCAGTTGACTCAATGACAGACCTTATGATACAGAACGCGCACGCTAACCATTCAGCAATCCAACCCCCTAGGCAACCCACAGCAGCTAAATCATCCGGGCAGTCAACAAGTGTTGTCGCATATTTTTACATTTTTTAGTAATGAAACAATTATAATACACTAATAACCAATTAAGAGTAACAACAACTCATCAATTCATGTAATTATCAGAAAATCATTAGAATTTGATTTGTTTGTATAAAGTTCTGCCCCATGCTAACGTTTAGTATACGAAACATTTAATATCATGGATTTAGCTGTTCAAGTTATCAAAATTCATTGAAAATCAATATACTTGTTCATCTCAAGACCTTAAACTGAAGCCAATCCGATGATAACTTTAGCCTCTAGACGTCACAAGATTTTTCAAAGTGATCAAGGGTCATAACTTTGGCAGTAATTATCAGAAATGTTGAAAATCAATATGATTCTTCGTCGCATGACCTCGAACACTGAGTGTAAATTTGAAGTCAATCGGATATCATCTTTAGCTTCTAGAGCATCCACAAGATATTTTGAAGTGTTCAAAGGCCATAACTCTGGCAGTAATTATCAGAAATTGCTGAAAATCAATAGGCTTCTTCGTCTCATGACCTTAAACACTGTGTATAAATTTAATGTCAATCGGATATTCACTTTGGCCTCTAGAGTGTCCACAAACAATTGTGGACGCCGGACCAACGAATTGACGAATGGGGGTGACACAATTGAATATATGACTACATTTCAATGTAGGCGTATAAAAAACAAACTAAAAATAAGGGGGAATATTTCCCAAAAGTTATATAAAGCCAGTACGAGTCATGATCGACTATATGCTACAAGAAATATGTAGGCACATTGAAGGTAACGGCTCTTTATAAATCCTATTTCGTTTCATGTTTTTTAATAGTACAAAATTTTGTTTTCTTTTCTTAACTACACTGGAAGAGTTGTTATGTAACAGGCGTTCTAGTTGATGTGAGAAATTAGCTAATGAAACGGTCTGTTACGGCGAGTTCTTGGCGTGATCTTCACGGAACTGTGGGTAAACCCCTAGAAACGTTAAAGCTGATTGATTAATCAATATCTTTCATAGGGTCAAAAGCCGCCCGTATGACACCTGACATGACCTCCCAGTACAACTGGTCAGATCTTCATGTAGTGTAAGCCGATTCCTCTGCCCCCTCCCCAAAAAACCCATACGCGCATGTGAATTATTGAAATATAATTGAACCATGTGTAAGTCTCGAAATGACCATTTATGTGAAATTTACAAAGAGACAAGTTAAATCTAAAAGGCGTATGTAGTAGTCATTTTTGGTGTATTTAAGGAAATTCATTATTAATATTAATGCAAAATATATGTAAGCAGGAAGGGCTTGTGGGCGAATTCTCATATTTTGAAAGTGAGAGAGAGAGAGAGAGAGAGAGAGAGAGATAGAGAATGGGGTTTAAACGTCCACTGACACAAACTAGGTCATTTCGGGCCTAACACATGATTCAATTTTATTTCCATAATTCGCTTGCGCGTAGGGGTCTTTAGCAGTGGGAGGAAACCGGAGGACCCGGACAAAACCCATGAGGTTGGACAGGCGACCCTACTCCTTGTCACGTACAACCGGGGATTCGAAACCACGCCAGATGACTCAATGACAGACTTAATGATACAGCACGCACGTGCCATCCAACCCCCCTGAAAGAGAGAGAGAGAGAGAGAGAAATGGGGTTTAACCTCAACTCGACTCAAACTAGGTCATTTCGGGACTAACACATGGTTCAATTTTATTTCAATAATTCACTTGCGCGTAGGGGTCTTTAGCAGTGGGAGGAAACCGGAGGACCCGGAGAAACCCCACGAGGTAGGCCAGGCGACCCTACTCCTTGTCACGTACAACCGGGGAATCGAAATCCCACCAGTTGACTCAATGACAGACTGTATGATACAGCGCAGCGCGCACGTGCTAACCATTCGGCCATCCAACCCCCCATTTTTTTAAAGTGAATTCCGGTGTTTATATGTTTTTAAAAGTGAATTCCGGTGATCATCGGTGTTTTTCAATTATTTATTATTAATATTAATGCAAAATATATGTAAAGAGGTAGGCCTTGGAGTCAAATTTTGATATTTGCAAAGTGAATTCCGGTGAATTCCGGTGATTTAGTATCCGCTCAAAATCTAAACAAAACAACTCGACGCAGCTAAATGTTGACAACTTGTTTGCTTCTTTCAGCTGACAGCAAAATTCACAATTTTCAGTTACCTGCACTGCTAACACGTTAAACTTACATATCATATCCATTTTTTTTTCTCAAAATATTTTTTTACTGTTGATTTTTTAACGAGATTTCCAAAACCTCTACTGCAAACCGATAACTGGATCTTGACCGATCTGTAGAATATCTGTCAGTGTTTATGTAGCGAAGCGGAATTTTAATATGTTTATAGGTTTTATTATGTCAAGTAATATAGTGTATTGAGTGAGTGCACCTTTAAACTAACAAACTGACACTAATTTTAATTGCAACTGGTCTATAATAACATCTCTCCTTTTACTTGGCTTGTTAACCTGTACTGTTTTCTTAGAGCCCAAATCTTGGGGTGAGTACAATTCTACTCCCTTGGTTACAAGCAAGTTTTCTTTTTATCTGAACCTCACTTTAGACATCAGACATTAGATAGATTTCGAAGTGTAAGGACAATTTGATATCTTCAATCAAATTGTTTAACTTTATTTTCCAAATCTAGTTAGGATATTTTCAGAGAATTGTTCCAGTTATACTACTTCAGTATTACAGGTATGTGTGCTAATTCTCTTATTTTGGGTAATTGGGGTTTAGATGGAGCGGATGTAGGAATGATAGAAATTGTAATATTAAGCAACCATTTTATTTAAATAGATAGAAAATAACATGTAAAGATCATTAGTTTTTCATATATACATATATATAGTAGATTATAAGGTACCGTTTTGAAAGTATATTGTATGTATAATCAGAATAATGTTATTTTCCAGAATATAGTTATCTGAAGATTTTGTTCACCATCTTGATAGTCTTATTTAAAAACCCCTTCTTTGGGTATGTTATCAATTACTTATATTATATTTAGTATAAACTTAAGGCCTTTTTAATATGTTTAATTTAATTAGTGATGTATTTTAGTGTATAAATTATTGATATATTTCATTGAGTACCAATATGCATGCCTTACTATTATTTTATTGTACTCAACTGTTACTGTGATATGTATATTAATTTTAACGTATATATATTTCAGGGTTTTTAATAAAGGTTTAAAAACTAACCACCTTAGTTTTTATTGAGAATTTACACCCCCCGGTTACATTTATACCCACAAATCTAACCCTAACCCTTCAGAATAGTTTTAGCCACAATCCACCGTTGTTACAGCTTCAATTTGTACGTTTGACATGTAATTTATAAACCTAACCCTAACCCTCGAGAAGATATTCTCCAGATGACACAATGATCTAGTATTATTCCCTTGGCGAACTCTAGCAAATTCAAATTTGAAACACAGAATTTCACACGAAACGAAATTTATCTATTTTTCAGTTATTTTCAATATTAAGTCATTGTAGTTATCTAATGTTGGCCTACCATGCCCAAAAATATTCACATTTGGTTAAATGTGCCGGAAGGACATATTGCCGAAAACACTGCAACATTAAGTATATAAAACTATATTTCGTTTCGAGTAAAATTTATAGGAAGATAGGCACAAAGGGTTAAATCTAATTAATAAGGACAACTTCAAGTTTGGCCAAAGGTCACGAGATGTAAACAGGGTTAACGCTAATCTCAACCCTAACCCTTACCCTGGACCTAGCCCTAATACTTAATCTAACCCTAACCAACAATCACACGCTCTACTTATTACATCTCAGCGACATCGACGAGAATTGAGTTGACCTTAAGAATAAGATCTAGCCATGGCAAATCTAGTTTCATTTTGTTAGCACAGTTTTATTTATTTGGTCACAGACCACTAAAGATTTCCCCATTCACAATGTTAATTCTTGTATCTTAGACAGATGGAGCAAAATGTGGAAACCCCTTGATTTACTTCATTCTCAGCCAAATTATCATTGTTTGTCCATAGGCGTACGACCTGGGGGGGGGGGGGCGCCCCCCCCCCCCCATTTTGGGCACCAAATGCTGGGAAAATTTGGGCACACAATTGTACTTTGTAAAAGTTGTATAAAAAATAGTGTGTTCTTGAATGTGTCCAATTTAACATCGAATTTAAATTCAGAGTGTCTATAGTTAGGCAATTAAATAGAAATCTGAAGACTCATACCCTCTATTGTTTGGAGTACAGTAAGCCACGAGTTACAGTTACATAAACAACTGTTTTTAGTTGTGTATATTACAAGTTAATAAAATTTAGTTCTCTTTTATTGATGATTTAGAAATTAAGAACTTATTCATCGCAAAAGAGATATTATTATTATTATGTAACATACTAAGAACCTAACTACATTTTGGGGGCACCAACCACCACCGCCCCCCCCCCCCCCCAGTCAAATGGTTTTGACAAGATGTATGCACAGTGATAACCAGGGCACTGATATAATCGGGGCTAAGCCTCGCTTTCCCATTTTTAAATTAAATTGTTAAATGGCGAACCGTTTTAATCAAGTTAAAATCTCGAGTATCCGATGCCATCGAGAGTCGATTATATGCTCTTGATTTGTTAATAATGTCTAATCAATAGTTTATATATAATATATAACATTTCAGGCCTATGACATCATTATTAATGTGACGTCATAATGTATGTTTAGTTTAACAAATGTACTGTTTTTAAAACAATGCGAACATTTATTCTACATTATTGCTATCTCAAAGCTGTTCAAAAATGAAATGAAATGAAATGGGGTTTAACGTCCTTCTGTTTTGCTCCGAACTGGGCTAATGAAGACGGGCATACGCCATACAGTGTGCTATGAGGGAAATTTTGCCCGGACAGCGGCACTACGGCCTACTCTTATATCGAATTCCAACTGTCAAGGGATCTTTTACGTGCACGCCAATGTGTACACGGGACCTCGGTTTTCCGTCCCATCCGAACGACTAGACAGCTGTCCTTGTCAGCCCCTCCGTCCTGCATCACTGACAAGGGAGAACCACGCCGGAAAATCTGGATGAACTTTCTCGGCCAATGCAGTGATCGAACACCCGACCTCCAGGCTAGCGAGCCAGCGCCTTACCCACTTAGCCACCGTGATCCTCTCAAAGCGGTCCAATATTTAATCAAAAAACATACATGGTTCGAATGTGTTAGACATTACGTTTATAGATTACAAACATCTCACCCCGATCCGATTAAAATACAGATCTATATTTCGTTTCGTTTTTTGTACTTTTGACGGCCTCTACCACACGAAGATCTGACTGTAGTGCGAGTTCGTTTCAGGAGTCATACGAACGTCTTTTCACCCTATGACGTCAGGCATTGATTAATCAACCAGCGTTGACGTTTCTAGTGGTTTAACAACAGTTCCATGCACGGCGCGCCAAGAAGTCACCGTAACAGGCCGGTTCATTGACTAATTCCTCACATCAGACAGAACGCCTGTTATATAACAACTCTTCCAGATTCTAGTGCTGTGAAGACAAGTAAAACGAAATTTTGAACTATAAAAAAACGGAACGAATAGGATCTGTGTTTTATCAGATTTAAAAGTACGTGTCTTGGTCCTTTTACATCAAAGTCGTCCATGGAAACAATCCCATCTTAATGTTTATAAGCCCCACCATGTGTCATATTATTTGGGTTTGGACGACCCATCAAACATTGACGTATACATTTATTCATGAACTTTTCAATACTAATAACCAATTTGTTCGCCACCGCGATTAACCAAATAAAATGTTCTGCTCTGACTGGGCTAATGAAAACGGGCATACGTCATGCAATATGCTATAAGCAATTTTGCCCGGACAGCGGCGCTACGGTCTATTTTTATATCGAATTCAAACTGCCATGGGATCTTTTACGTCCTGCAATGACAAGGGGAAACCCCACCGGAAAATCTCGACGAACGTTCTCGACCAACACCGGGAGCGAGTCTTCTTTGTCACACTATCCATGCTACACCACTTATAAATCCTACATGGAAATTTCTCACCCAACACCGGGATCGAACCCGGATCTGCTGGTTAATGAGTCAGCGACTTAATCACCGAGCCCCCGTGGCCCCGGTTTATAAATGGTCTGTACAAAATATAATTTCGATGATTTCCATTTTTAAATACTTACTACAAGCAGACTCCTCTCGTTTAGATTCCTCTACCGATTCGTCCGATTCAACTGAAATCTCATCGCGGAAAGGTGCACACTTCATTATCAGCCGGAATGCTTAAAAATCAGAGGAACATTAGATCATAAATTGTATTTTCTGTAGAAAGTTACTTCAATGATTTAAAATTAAATGTGAAATTTATGTTAAATTTAGATGATTAAGACCATCAAGATCAACTTCTATCATCTGATCTGATATCTCATACAAGATCAACTTGTAGCATTTTTTTTTTTTTTTTTTTAAATATAGTTTATTTATAAAATTCATATAATTACATTCAGTTATGCATAATTATATTAACAATGCAATAGATAATTTATAATTTAATACAGTAGAATTATTTATTTATTTACAATTGTTATATACAAAGTCAATATGAGATGATATATACAAACGGTAATATAATACAAAATACAATTAAAGTTCCTATATTATAGCTACTTTCCTATATACAGCTAAAAATATATTTGAAGTCTGTAGTGGAAAAGCGTCTGGTTGAAAGAGAGTGTGATGTTTCCCAGCACAAAAAGAACGTGCATAGGGAATTGTGGGATGTTATGATGGCCATGTTAATGTTAGAGGTGAGTGTTGATTACAGTGAATGAATAGCGATAAAACAAACGGGTAAAACTTGAGTTAGTGTTTAAATGTTTTTAATGGATTTCTATTTTACTGTTGGACATATTTCAGTGGGTGTATAGGTATTTTATTTATATGACAGTGAGATAGTGCCATTTAACGAAAACGAAAGATGACTAAGATGTCAAGTTGTGACAACTTAAAGTAAATAGCACGGTCTGTTTAGTCATATAGTAGAGTAATTAATATGGAAGCTTCATACAGGACGATAACTTGCCTTATACAGGAGAATTCGGTAAGGCAGAGTAGGCTGAAGCTTGGTGATTTCGATTTTATTTCCTTTTGTATAATATTGGTTTATCAATTAAGCCAAAATTTTCCAGAATTTATATGGGGTAGGCCTACAGGTGTTTGGTTATTTTCGCTTGTAGGCCTACATTCTTACTAAAAATTGCAATGAGTGCTCATATACGAAAGAAATATAAGAAGATGTCTATGGTTGTAGCTACTTATTATAGTAGCAAAGTCAATATTTCATGGGAGAAGTTGCAGAGTATAAATTCAGACATGACGACACAAACCTAGGCTTAAGGAGGGTCATAAGGTAGTGAAGACTCGAGCTTAAGAGAGTAATCTTATTTTTGTTTTCTTTTTGTATAGAATTGTTATATAAGCTCTTGTGAAATATTGGTGGATAGAGGGTGTGTTCGGTTAGACCATATGATCGACAGGTATAGGTATATATCATGAATGTATTTAGATTTTATATTGTGTAGATGGATTGTATTGTTGTTGATTTTGAATTCTTTGGTGAGATGAATGTTGTTTATATGTGTAGTAATGAAACATTTATAGAATTTTAATTTGGGGCAATTCAGAAATAAATGATGGTAAGATTCAGTTGCTCGGTTACAATAGTGGCATTTATAGTTGATAGTATATATATTTCTGTATAGCATAATATCTTTTGTTAGTACTGCATTATTGATGATTGTATACATGAAATCCTTTTCTTTTTCAGATAAGGAGGAGCATTTATAGAGGTTTGTCCAGACTTTTGAAAAGTCAACATGAGGTAATTGTTTATTTATTTTTGGTTGTGTCTGTAATAAGTCAATTAGGGACCAGTATATGTCTTTAAGTTTTGTATTGTATGTATATTTGATGGATGATTTGAGGCTATTGTAAGTTTCTTTTATATCTATATATGATTGGGGGAGTTTTTCCGAGTGGGTATAATTATTGGATGCATATCTTGGCAGAGTATCCCTTGTAGTAAATCCTAGCCAGTATATGTATAGGCCTAACCAGGGACTGTTGTTGTCTTTGATTGCTTTTACTATAAGTTGTTGTTGCATTGCCTGGATTTTTAGTCGAATGTTTGGCACTTTAAGGCCACCATTTTTATGCTCTAGGTTCAAGGTGTTTCGATTAATTGTTTCACTTTTATTTTCCCAGATGAAATTATAGATTATTTTATTTATGTTTTTAATAATTGAGTTTGAGGGAGGAACTATCCTAGCAACAAACCATAGTTTGCTGAGTATATAGGTGTTTAAGATGCATACTTTTTCTTTATATGAAAGAGAGTGATTTTCCCATGTCTGGATGGTTGAATTGATTATTTGAACAAGGGGTAGCCAGTTCTTTTCCATTTTATTTGAGCCAAACCAAATGCCTTGTAATTTTATAGCGTCTGTTTTAATATTAATATTTATATTTACAGGATAGGAGTAGTGTGATGGTTTTCCAACAGAAAGGATTTCAGTTTTATCATGGTTTAGTTTGGAGCCAGATATAGAGCCAAATGTTTTGAATTGTTCGAGGAGGGTGCTGTATGAAGAAAGTCTAGATATTATAGCAGAACAGTCATCTGCATGCTGAAATAACTTAATCTCTGAAGGGTGGTTAGGGATCCTGATGCCTTTTATGAGGATGTTTTTGTTTATGTATGAAGCAAGGGGGTTGATACACAATGAGTATAGAATCATGGATAGTGGACATCCTTGACGAATCGATCGGTTAATTTTAATATTTTGGGAAAAGGATCCATTTACTTGGACTTTACTAATCAAGTTTTTAAACATTATTGTAACCCAGTTAAGGATGTAATTTGGGAAATTAATATGTTTAAGTAGATTTATGATATAGTTGTGTTCAATGCGATCGAAGGCTTTTTCTTGGTCAAATGATAATATATAGGCACTGGACTCATTTGTGTTTATATAATTTAGTATTGTATCTATTGAATATAGGTTATCAAAAATGCTTTTATTTGGTCCAGCTCCTGTTTGTGTATTAGAGATTAATTTGTTAATAACAGAATTTATTCTTGTGCTTAGAATTTTTGTTATGATTTTATAGTCCACACATAACAGGCTTATCGGTCTATAGTTCTTGAGTAATCGATGGTCGCCTTTATTCTTGTAGTTAATTGTTATGATACCAGTTCTCATTGTGTTAGATAATTCCCCCTGTAGATAGATGTTGTTTAATACTTCTGTTAAATCGTTTCCTATAATGTCAAAGAATTTTATGTAGAAATCTCCTGGAATACCATCTATACCCGGGCTACGGTTTGTTCTAAATTTTTGAAACGCCTTAAGGACTTCATCTCTAGATATAAAATGTGATATTGAATCTCTTTCCGTGTTTGTTAGTGTGTTTATGTCACTGTTTTCGATATAGGACTTCATTAAGTTATCATTAATATTTTGAGAAGTATATATAGTTGTTGGTAGAATTGGTGAATTGTGTCTAATATATCTTGTTTATTGTCACAGATTGTATTATTTTGATTGATCAGTTGTTTAATTTGTTTTTTTGCACCCTTTTTAACTTCTGCTAATTTATATATTTTAGAATTAGTAGATACATCAATTTGGGGTATTTCTAATTTTGAACGTATAACGTAGCCTTGTTTGGTATTATATTCTATAAGCTCAATTTTTGATTTAATCTCGTTTATAGAGTTATTCTTACTAGGTATTTCATTTTCTAGGGATTCCAGTTGTTGATAAAGGTTACTGAGGATATGTTTGTTCTCAACTGCTAAGGCTTGACAGTAATTTTGTGTAATATTTCTAATAGCGGCTTTACCTTTTTCCCACCATTGTATGTTGTCAATGATTTGGTATTTTTTGTTTTGCCAACTTGACCAGAAGGTTTTAATTTGAATTTGGTAGTTTTTATCATCTAGAATAGAATTGTTAAGTTTCCAATATCATTTACCCCATTTAAGATTGTTAAGGTTGATATTTAGTTCCACTGCTTTATGGTCAGTGAAATGAAGTGGTATATGTTTAATTGATTTGATGTAAGTTGCATATTTATTACTTATGTAAATGCGGTCTAATCTGCTAGCATGTCCTTGTGAGTTGTGATAGGTAAAAAGGGGAGTGTCAGGGGAGATAATTCTGTAACCATCACTTATATTAAGTAGATTTTGTATATCAAGTACAGGGCTGGCCACGAATAAATTGATGGTTACAACTATATATAAAAATTGCTCACGCAAACTATGTGAGCACACATTTTGTAACATTGTTTCAATTTAAAATCATAAGAGAATTACTATTCCTGGCACAAAGTTTGCAGTAAACATGTGTGACCATCGCTTTCTGTTTTTGACAGTCATACGTACTCTTCTTTATTAAAACCAATTTCCGTATGGATTTCTTCACCCCACGAAATAAATGTGGATAGGGCAATCAGGTTGCCTTTGGCCATTATTACGCTTAGATTGAAAATTATACGACTGCACAATGGAATAAAAACCGAAGTTCTGATAAAATAGGAAATACCGATAAATATTAGTTTGAAACGTGTTCATTTAGCGTGAATGCCTAATGCCGGATGTAAACATTCTTTACTTTAGACTCGATTATCACGCGTTCGTTACTGGTGTTCGTAGGAAAACCAGTCATAACGTTCAGGTCTAAAGTGTATTTTTAGTAACAAGAGTGCTGAGTAACTTTTTAGCCAATCAAATTTAAGGAGGAAAAGCCGCGTGCAGCTGGGTGAATCTCAGTTTGACAGACGAATTTATGAAGTTATTGACATTGTTGGTTTAGTTTCGGCAATAAACTTGTCAATATTTTGATTATTTTTACAGGGTTTTCTTAAAATTTTGCGCGAGCAACGAACCGCTCGCGTAAATGTAGATTTGCGCGAGCACAGCGCGAGCGCGAGCAACTGCTCGCGTCTCGTGGCAAGCCCTGAAGTAGATATCTTATAGCATCTTTTGGATGGCTATTCATGTTGCCATGTTTGTTATCTTTACTGTTTTCAATAAGGTTAAAATCACCAGTAATAATATAAGAATGTTGTGGATTATGAATAGTTTTGACATATTCAAGAAGTCTCTTGTAGTAATAAGTTTTCAATTCTCTCTTGCAGGGACCATATATATTGAATATTTGAATAGTTTCATTATTTGCATTTACCTCCAGATGTTGGAGCCTACCTGCTAATTCATCAGGTGTTTTGTAGAGTTTATGTATAATGTTTGGGCTTAATAATAGGGCAATGCCAATCTTTGTTTCATTATATGCAGTGTATAAGTTATAGCCAGTTTCGTTTTCAACATTTTTTATTTGATGGACATTGGATTTTAGAATTTCTTGTATACAAACAATATCTAGTTTGTTAAATATATTGCTAATTTGTTTAATCTTTTGAAGATTTCCTTGTAGAGCGTTTATGGAGTAAATTAACATAATAATTAGGTAAATAATAGGGATAGAAGGCTTCATTGTTAACTAATATGGTTTCAAGAACTTATAACGTCTTAATTTGTTTGATCTCTAAACTTCTGTTTCGGTAAGCGGGGATTCCGCTCGCGCCCTTTTATCATCTATTTCTGTTTCGGATAAACTATCAAGGCTTCTTTCCCTTTTACTTACTGTGTCACACTTAGTGACTGTAGAGTTATTTAACAATGAGACATCAGCGTCATAGTTAAGATTTGACTGCGATGTTTCAGGGATATCATGGGATGAGTTGTCAATGATACTGTTATCCTCTAAATAACTTTGACCCACTGAGGATCCTGTGTTAATGGGGGTGGAAGAAACATGACCACTAGATGTATCAATAATAGACTTATTAACATCATTGATAAAATGGCTATCAGGGCTGAGGATAACATTTGTTGTATCGGTAGTGATAGGAATGTCATTGTTGACTACTGTTGTTTTTATGGAGTCTAGAGTAGCTAAGTCCTGGTTTAGACTTCCTGGGTTTGACATTTGTTTTTGTCGTATTATTTTTGAGGGGATAATATTATTGACACCAGGGTTATTGTCTTCACTAGGGTCATAACCTAAGACATGGTTATTGATATTTAGGTGCTCATGATTAGGTTCATAAATATCATCAATATTATGGGTGGGTTCAGTGGCTATATCAGCAGATACTATAGCACTGTTTGGACTAGTTTGGGGTTGAAGGGCAGGAAATTCCATTTGATCATCAGGATTTGGTGCATTGGGGTTGGTTGGCAGACTATATCTTTTGTCTGGTTTTGTACATTCACGGCCAAGATGCCCATGCAGGCCGCAGTTGTAACAAATTTTGCCCCTAGTTTGGCCCTCATATTTAATGGATACATGTATCCCTTTTATATAAATGTGCGATGGAATAGGTTTAAACATTTTTTTTACATAAACAATTCTAACACCGCTTTCCCGTTGGAAATGGTTTGAAGCAGGATCTGTCATATTTAACCAATTCACAATAGTTCGTCAATTTGTTAACCAGATAATTATTGTCCATTTCGAATGGTAGGCCGAAGACCGCAACAGGAATTGAATCAACAGGGTAGTCCCATGTGATGTTTCCAGCCGACTCTACTGTATAATTGCAATTCTTCACTGAGAAGGTCTTGAGATTCTCAAGAAATAACTCCTTGGCAAGTATATCCTTAAGAGTTAGGCAAAACTTGCCCTTACCTACATTTTGGAGACATTTTATATTGCTGATGTCAAAATCCTTAGCTTGTAGGAAATATAATATGTCTACTGAGGCAATACCAGTGGAGGGGTTATCATCGTCGGGAATCAGTTCAACAGTATTGTCACGAATTATACGGTTTGTTACACTCATCTCCCCATTAGGGTTAATTGTCATCTTTGTCGATTTTATGTAACTCATTGTCAATAAAACACTTCAACAGCTTGTATGTGGTCTTAATTAGAGTTTAAAGGTGGTGAATCACGGTGGCCATAGACCGGCCATGACAATATGGCTGACACCAACACTGAGAATTCAAATGTCTTGTCACAGTAGAACTCGAATAGTTTATACAATTATCAACTCTGAGATATTAATCCATTACAGGGTATCTGGGTCGTATCTATACAAAAGATAAGATGGCCATTGTCGGACACTAAATAAATAGCTCTTTATAAACGCCAGTAGAGGGAGAGCTATCAAGACACGTCTTGTCAGCTCGGCTACCACACGCTTCGTATACAAGATCAACTTCTCGTTCGTTCGTTTCTGGGGTTTTACGTCCACTTCCACCTAAGGTGATATCGTAGACAACTTCTCGCATCTGATCTCTGTTATATCTGATTTTATAGATGATATGTTTTGGTTGACAATATTTAATACCAAACCCGTTTTTGTTTCTAATAGATTGGAATCCAACTCAATCAGCGGTCTACCATTGAACATGAAACAATTTTATTACACGCAGGTGTACATGTATACATATACACGCCAACAAAACCATTGATATGCTGTTACAATGAATCTGTTCTGTCAAAACAAAACGTCACCTGTTGTTTTTAAAGGACTCAATCACTGGGCGTGTAATCACAAGACAGAGAACTAAAGATTTAATAACCTGTGAAGTGTGAATGCGGCTACACTCTAACCGTTAATCATGTCGTCACTAGTGCATTAACTTGGAAGAGAAGGGAGTCCCTGTAATAAATATAACAGAACATGCTAAACATAAATATACCTTCCCAAATATAACATACTTTCTCGGAATATGTCATATCAGATTGATGAAGCGATCTCGCAATTCATAGCAGAACCGGGAATTGACTGTTGAGTTAGAGAGAGTCCGCTGAACTCAAATTATTTTTTGTAGTTCAACTGAATATTCGTGACTGTAATGATTGATATAGTGTAATCCTTTAGTGGCATTTAGCAATTGGAAACATAACAAAACTATACAGTTATATGGGACAACAATCACTGGTTTATTATACACAAGCACGACGTTTCGATAAGTATTCTCTTATCGTTATCAAGCACATAACGTCGTGCTTGTGTATAATAAACCAGTGATTGTTGTCCCATATAACTGTATAGTTTTGTTATGTTTCCAATTGCTAAATGCCACTAAAGGATTATATTCATCATCAGTATGGGGATGAGGCAGTTAAGTGTGTACGCCAGCTTAGTAAACTAGAAGGGAAATATATTCAAGTGTGTAACAACTTAACCTTTCTTATGAGAATGATTAGTATATATATATATATATATATATAGACCCTCAAGTTTACTAAATGTCATTGTGCTTGATAACGATAAGAGAATACTTATCGAAACGTCGTGCTTGTGTATAATAAACCAGTGATTGTTGTCCCATATAACTGTATAGTATTGATATAGTGGTTGTAATAGGGAAGTCTTTACTATTTTACTCACTTTGTTCGTGTTTTATATAATAATTGGTACGGCATTCATTTTACATGACTGTCTTTACTTGACGTGTTTACATGTGGTTTAACGACCACTCGACACAAACCAAGTTATTCGGGACTAACATGGTTCAATCTTATTTCAATAATTCGCTTGCGCGTAGGGTTCTTTAGCAGTGGGAGGAAACCCGAGGACCCGTAGAAAATCAACGAGGTTGGACAGGCGATCCTATTCCTTGTCACGAACAGCCGGGGAATCGAAACTACACTAGTTGACCTTATGATACAACGCACACGCGCTAACAATTCGGCCACCCAAGACCATGTGTGCTATGGGGGGGGGGGCAGCTTTGTCAGACAGGCGGCGATACCATCTGCTCTTAACCAATTCCAATAGTGGTGGATTCTTTTACATGCACAATGTCCTCGTTTTTTAGACCTATCCGATCGACTATACACTGTTCTGGAGCCACGTTGGCTCATTGAGTAGGACTTTGGAAGACGTTGGAAACGTACATTCTTATTTGCCAGTGGTGTATCCGACGGACCCTATTCATTGTCATGTCCGTTGTTAAAAGATACAGATTAGATTTTTTTTTATCTTTTTTTCAAAGTAAGGAGCCAGGGTGGCTAAGTGGGCGAGACGCTGGCTCGCTATCCTGTATGTCGCGTGTTCGATCCCTGCACTGGCCGAGAAAGTATGTCGGGATTTTCCTTCGTGCTTTCGCCTTGTCAGTGGTTGCAGGACCAGGGCCTGACAAGGAAAACTGTCTAATCATTCGGATGTACACATTGTCGTGTACGTAAAAGATCCTTTTGCAGTTGGAATTCGATATTAGAGTAGGCCATAGTGCCGCAGCCCGGGCAAACATTCCCTTTTAGCACACTGTATGCCCGTCTTCATTATCCCGGTCGGACTGGAACAGTAGGACCTTAAACACCATTTCATTTCATTTTTTTCAAAGTATGTAAATATAAATGTGCCAGAAAATTATTTAAATATTTGAAAATAGAAATGAACGTGCGTTTCAGTGATACCTAACATGATATCTAGAATTCGTATTAAGATCATACGAGACGAAGGTTCGAGACTTATCGAGTAGAGCCTAGCATTACGACGGCTGTATTAACATATTCTATATCTATCTTAACACATCACTGGTTTGAACGAATCAAATAAATAGTCAGACCTTTAATTTAAAGCTATATGTAAATTTCGAAATCCAAAATGGCAGCATTATAAAATGGTCGATTTTAAGTTAATCAACATTTTTAGTCTGATTGTCAAATGAATATGAATTGCACGATATGTTAATCCCAAAATGACATATTGTTAACGCGCTTTAAAAATCTGGATGCAGTAGACTAGATGTAGAAAATTCTAGATACATTAAAATGTTGGCACTAGAAGGTATTTCGTGCTATGGCTTGTTTGTGGTTTAGAATATGATTTATTGTCTTGAATATAATCACAGTATTAAACAATAGATTATAATCTCCCCTACTGATTATTGTAATTCCAGAATGTTTGATTGTCTTTGATTTCATAGGTCGATATCCTTACGTTATTGATTTTAGGGTTTATTGTGCTACTTGGAGGGTATGTGCAACCGTTTGTCACCTTAAATAAATTAATATAATTATAGTTTTTAATTAGACACTGTTAACCACACAATGATTTGTTAATGACAATAAATCATATAGTTTATTCAGCTTGGCGTAAGACTTAACAATAAATAGATACAGTTGGTTTAACTTGAATGAAGATTATTATCTATGTTGCATATATATCACCTTCCAGTTAAATCACGTTATATATCTTATATATTGATGTTCATATCGTCTTACCTATTTGTCAAGTAGGAGCCGGATCTCTCAACACACGTCACTAAAGTAACAGTTTGTAGACTTTTCTAGATTGAACGTGTTTGCGGAGATGAAGTTTAGGTAGAAAAAAAAGATATACCCTTAATATCACGGTGCTTACTACCACACTACTTTTCAATTCATACATCGGCGTGCACGTAAAATACATTCGATGAACGCCGCTGTCCGGGCAAAATTGTTCTCATTAGTATACTAAATATATTACAAGCTAAAATAAATATTAATAAATCATGTATTATATACCTGACATACGCCATACAGTGTGCTATGAGGGAAATTTTGCACGGACAGTGACTCTACAGCCTACTCTTATTTCCAATTCCAAATGTCAAGGGTTCTTTTACGTACACGCCACTGTGTTCGCGGAACCTCACCTCGGTTTTTCGTCCCATCCATAAGACTTTACGGTGTCCATTGCTAGGCCCTCCGTCTTACACCACTGACATGGACGGACTTTCTCGATCAACGCATTGGTCAAACATGGGGCCTCCAGGTTAGCGAGTTAATGTCTTACTCACTGATCCAATGTGGCTCCCATGTGGAATGAATCACAATTGTAACAAATGTTAATCTAAGCTATAATGTACTAGTGATGTAATTATTTATAATGGGTATAATGAACTTCTATTCAAGTGAAATGAATCAACATTAAAACACCTGCTATCATAAGACGAGTAATTTAGTATTTTATGACTAAACGAGGTATCATAACATATAATTTGATTGATTAGTAGTAGAGGTCTAATGATATTATAATGATATCAGTCAGGTATATAATACATGATTTATTAATATTTATTTTAGCTTGTAATATATTTATTCACAGAATATAATTATACATTATAATATTTATAGTATTTTATAATTTCCACACCTTTAATTTATTTTTTACTTTTTCACTGTTACTATATAAGACACACAGGCAAAGTAAAATACAGTAATATACAATAATAAAAACAGGTATTTTTGATTATTTATAATATGTATAGGATAAGAGTTGAGTATGTATAAAAGATTAAAAAGTAAAATATAATATATACAAATAAAATCATTGCCTGTATCTTGCACACCTATATACAATAGAGCGATACAGATTTTAAGTACATTTAGTGTCAATGAGAAAACCTGGTTTTAAATACTAATTATAAATTTCAATGTTTCAATTATTGCAATATTTGATGACTTTACGTCTAAATGAAGATTATATAGAGAAAAAGAATTACATTAAATAAATAATTTGCAGATATTTTCTAATTAAACAGGTTGGCAGTGGGATTTTGGAGTGTAGAGTTTTTTGGCTGTTGAGTACATAGTGTCTATCTGAAAATATGCTTCAAATTTTAAAATATGGCTCTTAATGTTTCAAAACTTACTATATTTGGTGACTTCAATAGCAAATAAAGATAATGTAAGCAAGAAAATTGTTTATAATTCAGAGTTGGCTGAGAATATCTTGTGAAAAGGTTTACAATAACCAATTTCCATGTTAATTTTTTGAGATGACTGGATGAGCAAGACTAATATGATTTGTATAGTTTAGAAAGAGCTGGATAGTAGGGGCTTGTATCACTGACAAACATTGGGTGTTTATGTTAGGGGTTAAAAGATGGGTCGAATGCTTGCAGACGGCAA